AGGGATAACCCTGATCTCTGGGGGCAGTTCATTCCAGAGGGTGGGAGCTCCCACAGAGAAGGCCCTCCCCCTTGGGGTCGCCAGCCGGCACTGTTTGGCCGACGGCACCCTGAGGAGGCCCACTCTATGGGAGCGTACAGGTCGATGGGAGGTAATCTGCGGCAGGAGGCGGTCTCGAAGGTATCCGGGTCCGATGCCAGATTATAAACATAAAAAATCTAACTTAATTACCTATGAAACTGGTCTCTGTAATTTTTAGCCACATCTTGAACAATAGATTTCAATCTGTAAGATAAAAAAAAATCATTGGCTTTCTGTATTTTTTTAGCTGGTCAAAATATATAAAGGAAATAAAGAATACAAGCATGAAGCCAGCTAATGAGGAATGAACTATATCTGGGCATGATATCTAAATTCCTCTGTAAATCTTTTTTTTTTTTATCAAATCCATTTTATACTTTAATTTCAAATTATAAAGGAAAAAAACTCCGCTGTTATGAAATATTAGGAAATATGTGCCAAAGATAAACTTGGTATATCATTTTTTGATTTGAACTGCCTATTCAAGAGAAGAATGCATAAATGGATTTCGAATCCAATTCTTAATAAACATCACGTCCCCAATGTTTCAGGATGCATTTACAAAGAGGTTTTAAGTGGCTGGGGTAATATTACAAATGGCAATATTACAACTAATAGTAATTTTATAAGAAATATGGGATTTATGCAAGAGTTAAATAATGGTATTTGGTTTGCAGCCAACAGTACACACTGGTATGCAAGTATGGCAAAATTCAAGAAATCAGTTGCTAATGAGACAGAGTCCTACAATACCTTTTGTTTGAATTTATTTAGTAGCTGTATGGTAATCTGTGTAATAAATTATTCCTTGTGAAACTTTTCAATTTGGAAAATAAATAATCCATTTGGCCAATTCTTCTATTGTTTGGTTCTTCAGCACAGAATACCACTAAATATACTTCTGGGACTCTGGTATAAAAAAACAAAAGAACATGAGGTCTGCTTTTTTATGCTGTATTTTACGCTGTATTTTACTGGAGCATAGGCTGTTTTGACTATTCCAGCATAGGCTGGAGCATAGGCTGTTTTGACTATTCCAACATAGAATTTCAGATTCTGATTTATGTAAAATTCACTCAGAATTGGATTGAATCCAATCTTTCCAAATGCAGGAATTCGAATTAAAGTATCCCGGGAAATCCTGGTAGCCACTGAATGAAACCTCTTTGTGTATCGTCTACACTTGAACTCAAATTCTCTTGTGGTCAGAAAGTATTTTCTCTTAATATTCAATGAAAAGTTGCTTTCCTGCAAATGTAAAACTATTATTCTTTGATCTGCATGCTGCAATGATAGGAAACGTTACTGAATCTTTCTTTTGGGTGGCATCTTTTCAAATATTTGAAGAGTGCTATCGTTATCTTGTCTCCAGCTTCTAAAGACTAAATATTTTTTCTTCCTTCCACCTCCCTTCTTAGGACTTCATTTTAAGTCCTATCATTATCTTCTTAGACTTAGAATAACAATAGAATTTGGGGGGGGGCTGCTCTTTTTATCCTGGAAAATGAGGGTTGGAAAGAGAGGCAAGGAGGCACAGGGTGGCAAAGTGATTTTTATTTATTTATTTTATTTATTTATTTAACAGGATTTATATGCCGCCCTTCTCCCCATGGGACTCAGGGCGGCTCACAGCGTATTAAAACATCATACAAAAAATTTCCCCTACTAAAAACCAATTAAAACCCAAATATTGGTAGCTGTGGCTCTTTAAAATCGTTAAAAATTGTCCCTATTTAAAACTCACCCTAGG